TTCCGGTTGCCTCGATTACTAATCGATCGAATCACGCAGGTTCCTGGAAAATTTTCCAAGACGATCACACGGAACCTGACTCGTTATCTGTCGACAGAACTCTCTCGTTCGTGAAGAACGAGAAGCTTCTATGGTTTCTCCGGTAAAAACGCTAGTTTCATGCTTGCCGATCCTCTCACGGATCGTTACACGAATGAAAAGGCACGAGAAAGGAAGGAGACGATGAGAGCAGACGACATCGATCTGACATTTTCTTATAGTCATTTTACAACGTTATTGACTCATCTCCAAGTGGATCCTATCTACGATCATTGAATAAACAATCCTACTCCGAATCGGAACAGTTCACCGTTGTACGCGATTGCTGGCTGGCTGGTTCGCATTTTCGTCGTGTGTTGCGGTCCCTCGCATACCTCAAGGCCGTTACTGTCTTTATCACCACCTCGGATTACTCATCGTTGTTCTCCGTTCCTCTGTTTCTCGCTCCCCCCCCTCCCACACACACACAGCCGAGACCGTTCGTGTATCCTTCTTGTCCCCGCCCGTTCTTGATCCCGTCGTCTCGTCTTTTTCTTAGCTCGGTCTTCTTTGTCAATCACGAGCCGCCTACTCGATATCTCTGTAGTCCCCTTCTCCTCCGTCTCTCTTCTTCGGTCTCGTTTAACCTGATCCACCTGCGCTGTCGCTAGGATTCCCACGTGTCACCTGTCGTGGGAAACGTTCGTCTGCTTTGTCGCCACATTGTACACTTCCTTCTACCCACCCACCCGACTTTTCACGATGTTCGGACGTCCTTTTCATTTTCTCGAATTTTCAATCTTCCACGATTTTCGTGGCGTACATCTAGTACAGCCAAGTTTGACCAAGTTCTCTCTATAGAGGAGTATTTCCTTCTCAGGAAATTTATTTCCGATATAGTCTCCAGAAATTTGGAGCATCATTTCTGTATAAGTTCGGTTTCCCTTTGAGTTTACACGTTTTCCTCGGCGTCGATCGATCGCGACCGCGTTACACTTTCCCTGCTGTTTGCTTTCGATGTCTGATTACGATTTCGTTGGTCGAGTGGCTGATGTCACGTAGAGATATCCCCGCGATAATCGATACGTTTTGCTTCTGCCCGTCGATAACGATTATACTTGCCGGCGAGGGGGATTCACTCGTTCATTCAGTTGTACCTGTGCTTTTGTCAATATTCATCGATGTATTCCTTTCAACCGCCTTCTCTGAAAGGGCTTTCATTCGCTTAGCCTCGGTTGTTGTTCTTCGCCTCGTTTCCAAGTATTGTCATCTCGCTCTCTTTCTTTTCTCTCTTCTTCTTCGCGAACGGGAGGAACGAGAGATTTACGGAGAAGGTAGAAAAAAAAAAAGAGAAAAGAAACTCCACGTTTCTCGTCCTCTGTGCGTGTTCTTTCAAAAGAGTTTTACCTGAACTTACCACTCGCGTCCCGTCTATTCCTGTTTTACCTGCGAGTTCTACCTGCCGCCGAAAGTTCGTGAGAATGAATGTTAGTTAGGCTAGTTTTTCGGAATACCGGGAATTCGCGATTCACCGTTCGTGAGAATTCTTCCGTTCATGTCGCGTTCAGGTCTCTTCTCCCCAGAGAACTCTTCCGTTCCCCTCGAAACGGATGCGAATTTCCCTCCACTTTCCATGTGCTTACTTCACCCAGAGACAATACGTCGATGCCTTGCTCGACTAACTGAAAATTTCCAGGTGATTGATTCTAAAAAGTGTGCGTAAAACGTAGCTGGGCAAAGCTCGAGGAACTGTGCAGATCAGGATTGACGTCGTCGTTACCTTTAACATCTCTTTCCAGGGAAATCGTTTTCATTTACGTTCCACGATTTCGACGTGTGAAACTCGAATGGACATATCGCGCAACCATGCCTTCGCTCGAGATAGCACCGTGAAAGTTGCTAAAAGAAACTCGTCGATAGGTATCGTCACCGATTTTTCGATAAAACGTCCCACGTTTATTTATGCGTATTTTACGACTACCTTTAGCCTGCCTTTCTCGTTAATCGTTATTTAATCGTTCCCCGTACGTATCGTCTTAACAATAATTGCTAGCCAGCGAGCCCTATCGAAATGTTACGTAAAAACGTAATTAGACGTAATCTCTCCCGTCTATCTTTTTTTTTTTTTTTTACCGTAACTTGTTTCGTTTTTTAACGTTTTTAACGTAACGCCGTTCGTTCTCTAGGTTTCTAAAAACAGTTCCCTACCAAGAGGTATAGTCGTGCATTCTCTGCCGCAAAAATCGCACGACGAATGTTGGGAGGACATTGTTTGAAACGCATTTCCTCGGACCTCGTTTGCTTCGTTTCCGCGAAAGGGGAAACGCTTTTCATGAATCGGCGGTAGGTTATCGGTATAACGCGTTCATTTACAATGCAGGAAGCGGTAAGGAAAAGGTAAAGAAAAGAAAGGAGCGGCTCGGCGAGTAATTACGTTTGCTTGAGAGCAGCCTTGTATCGACGATGGTTAATCGCGTTTCTCGGCTCGCGCTTCTCTCTCTCTTTCACTGATCGGTTTATGGCTACTCGGACTGCGTTCGATCCAACGTAAATATATATCGTTTAATCGTTACAGTAGGATATAGTAATTGCCGTGCGCCAGTCGTACTATGAATTATCGTCCGTGAAACGAGAAAAAGCAATGGCATTCTCTGCCGTCGATAGACAGACGTAACAGAGCGGCCGCGAGGAGGAGAGGTTGCTCGGTGGTAATGGCCGATGGTAAAAGAAGTGCAGCCAACCAACAGCCGCACGGTTGTGTGTTGTATTATGCAGTAATGACTGCCGTGACGGCACCCGGTGTGTGTCTTCTCTCTTATTTCTCGTCTCTCTGCGCGGCCGCGTTCGTCCAATTACCTCTCTGGCCCGTCTCTCCGAGCTTTTTGGATCTTATCCAGAAGCGGGACTTATTAGAATCTAATTTGCGTAATTGAAACGTGATTCGAGTCGCGAACAAACTGATTCTTTGAATCCTTCTAGGAAGTGTCGCCTCGTTTCCTCTCTCGTCGTCTCATCCTCCGTGTATTCTATATTAAAAGCCAAGAGAGAAAGAATGAGAGAGAATGAGAGAGCGCGCCGCTTGAACGTCTGGTATCGGTATCGTCTGGAAGCGACGAGAGGCTGGTGTAATCCCCTATGAACCGTCTCCCGCGTTGTTCCGCGCGAAATTTCACGCGATCGACCAACACCTCCTACATAACACGTAGAACCGCTCGTCGGGATCTTTTTTTGGATTTTCCGTTTACCGCGCGGTCGGCGCCGCAGCTCGCGCGTTGTTACCGCCTCGCCTCGTATAATGTTATACGTCGATCCCGTTACCTAGGTTCGCGTATTACATACCAGCGAGGAGGGAGGAGCAACCGTATTCTATCGAAACGAAACGACTTTGCCGCGAAGGGATCATTCTCTTCCTTTTTTTTTTTTTTTTTTTCTGTTTTCCTCTTGGTGTTTCATCGACCGCGGTAGCGTCTCTCCTCTCTGCGAGGAGACGTTCGCAAAGGCTCTGTTATCGTGACGCGCGTTAGGTGAGCAGACGCCTCGCGAACGAAAGATCTCTCGCCAGCTGCGAGAGCCACGTTTCGTCGCCAGGTAAACACACGAGACACGAGAGACGAGCGACTAGGCGTCCAAGGTTCTCCGTCAGCTTCGTGTCGTTTGACGAAACATTAGTCACCGGCGAGTAGAATCACATTTTATCCGTGGAATCCAAACGGCCTCACCGGCCTCTTGTTTGCTCGAAACGGATCTCGTTTATCGAGAGCTCGTTTCCCCAACAATGCTGTGGCCACTCCTTCACTCGAGTTCGTTCGTTCTCTTCAGATTTATTTTTGGCGGACTGACTTGCCGAGCGAAGTTCCTGGAGAGCTTGAAAAATCGAGAGCTTGGAATGATCGTGCAGTTTCGTAGCTTTATGAATAGAGTTACGAAGGAAGTTAGAGTCTGAATAGAATCACCGCCGACTGATAGCGATAAAAGCTCCGCTTTTATTACATATCCTTCAAATTGTTTTTCGAGGTATTCTTAAATTCTTCGCGAAAATTCCGAAATATCCGCAGTCTGCGAATAAGGCACGGCTATCGCGCGTAGCGCGAACAAAGAGACTGCTTCGAAAGTGGGTATATTGCGCGTCAGAAAAGCCCACGTTCGTCGCTCTCGGCTCTTGCACGATGTCCATTTTTCTACGCCGATATTTCCATCGCAGGCTGGCGATCGAGCGGGTAACGCATCGAACACGAGGAATCGCGAATACTGTCTCGAACACGCGAGACGTAATCGCGCCACTCTGCGAGATGCTAACTGCGAGGCGATTGATTCGCGATTCTACTTCCTTGTCCGAGCGACCCGTGGAGGAGAATCTCTTGCGAACTCGAGTCGCGATAACAACTCGTCGCGAGGACTCGTTGGAATGGACCGATCGGCAAGCCAACCGGCGACATATATTCCGTGCCGTTTTACTCGTAAATTCATTTCGAGGACGTTTAGTATGCATTTTCGAATGATAGTGAAAGTTGAGCGCGTGTGCGCCACATCGGCATCCTGTTGTGTTCAGGGTCAGTTCGGGCAACACGGACACGCGTTTTCCTCCGGTTTTTTCCTTCGGTCGTCCCCCCTCCCCCTCTTTCCCCCCCCCCTCTTCCCGCGTGTTTTAAGTTTTTATC